GTGTTGTGTTTTTATGTGTGGGTTTATTAGTGTCTGAAAAGTAATGGAATTGTGGTTGGAGTGTTAGTGGAGTCTCGTGGTCCCTACCTGACCACAACTTCTTGTGACCTGACCCTACCCCCTCCCTGTGACTTGACCCGCACCTACTTACAATGCTGCCCTCTATGCTTTTACTACCACCTAAGCTTATAGTAAACTTACTTGCCTTGTTCCATAGATTACCAATTGCTATTCCTTTTTGAGTACTTGAGGGGCCTATTCTTTATCATGCTGGGAGAGTTGGACCGTTCACAATCAGCTTGGCGTTAATTGGAACCCGAAACCCCCCTCAAACAACCACGCATAGATGATTACAGTACTTACAATGCAGCTGTAGCAGTCTGTAGATTGTCCAGCTCGATGTGACGTCCTGGCGTAGATCCACCTCAATTTCTTCTCGTTTTATAACGTACCTATTCATGTATTTCTTTCGCTGGTCACACGTTTTGTTTCACTTTATTATCTTTCTTGGGGGGACACGGGCAATGTTGCCTGAGCCCTGCCGCTCTGAATGCACCACCATGTTTCACTTTCTAATCACTTACAAAATTGTGGCTCTCCCCACACTTATGTGGCTCTTTGCAGATTGTAAATCGCTTCAAGGAATTGTTCACTACCCTAACACACTTAGCAACCCTTGCAGTACATTTGGGGTAGCCCTCAAAAACATTTTACATTCGCAGAGCACGGAAGGCGTGACTCGCGCACGCGTGTCCCTACTGTGTGTGTGTTGTGTGTGTGTGTGCGCGCGGCGTTGTGTATGCATATATTTGTACGCTCGTACTCCCCAGTTGTACTCACCTATTTTGAGGTTGGGGGGGTCGAGCCCGAGCTCCTGGCCCCCGCCTCTTCACTGATCGCTACTAGGTCACTCTCCCCGAGCCGTGAGCTTTATCATACCTCTGCTTAAAGCTAGTATGGACCCTGCCTCCACTACATCGCTTCCCAAACTATTCCACTTACTGACTACTCTGTGGCTGAAGAAATACTTCCTAACATCCTGTGATTCATCTGTGTCTTCAGCTTCCAATGTGTCCCTTGTTTACTGTGTCCAATCTCTGGAACATCCTGTCTTTGTCCACCTTGTCAATTCCCCTCAGTATTTTGTATGTCGTTACCATGTCCCCCTATCTCTCCTGTCCTCCAGTGTCGTCGGGGTTGATTTCCCTTAACCTCTCCTCGTAGGACATACCTCTTAGCTCGGGGACTAGTCTTGTTGCAAACCTTTGCACTTTCTCTAGTTTCTTTACTGCTTGGCTAGGTGTGGGTTCCAAACTGGTGCCGCATACTCCAATATGGGCCTAACGTATACGGTGTACAGGGTCCTGAACGATTCCTTATTAAGATGTCGGAATGCTGTTCTGAGGTTTGCTAGGCGCCCATATGCTGCAGCAGTTATTTGGTTGATGTGCGCTTCAGGAGATGTGCCTGGTGTTATACTCACCCCAAGATCTTTTTCTTGAGTGAGGTTTGTAGTCTCTGACCCCCTAGACTGTACTCCGTCTGCGGCCTTCTTTGCCCTTCCCCAATCTTCATGACTTTGCACTTGGTGGGATTGAACTCCAGGAGCCAATTGCTGGACCAGGTCTGCAGCCTGTCCAGATCCCTTTGTAGTTCTGCCTGGTCTTCGATCGAGTGTATTCTTCTCATCAACTTCACGTCATCTGCAAACAGGGACACCTTCAGAGTCTATTCCTTCCGTCATGTCGTTCACAAATACCAGAAACAGCACTGGTCTAGGACTGACCCTGCGGGACCCCGCTGGTCACAGGTGCCCACTCTGACACCTCGCCACGTACCATGACTCGCTGCTGTCTTCTGACAAGTATTCCTGATCCATTGTAGTGCCTTCCCTGTTATCCCTGCTTGGTCCTCCAGTTTTTGCACCAATCTCTTGTGTGGAACTGTGTCAATGCCTTCTTGCAGTCCAAGAAAATGCAATCACCCACCCCTCTCTCTCTTGTCTTACTGCTGTCACCATGTCATAGAACTCCAGTAGGTTTGTGACACAGGATTTCCCGTCCCTGAAACCATGCTGGCTGCTGTTGATGAGATCATTCCTTTATAGGTGTTCCACCACTCTTCTCCTGATAATCTTCTCGTGTGCATGTGTCTGTGCGTGCACCCTCGTGTGTGTGTGTGTGTGTGTGTGTGTGTGTGTGTGTGTGTGTTGTGCGTGCGCTCGTGTGGGTGTATGACCCCACTTAATATTTGTATTTTAACTCATTACAGTTGTGACCAGGTGTGGACGTATCAGTGGCTCATTACTTTGTAATTTGTTTATGACTGTAAACATGTATAGGAGTGAGGCTGATTCATTACCTTTGTAACTTGCCATGATTGTGACCAGATCTACCTGGAGTTCATTACCTTTGTAACTAGTTCAGCTATCATAACTTGGGGTCCAGTCCCTGGACCCATTATGTACCTCTGTAATCTTTTGGCTACCACCCACAGGATGGGTATGGGGTGCATAATAAAGATATTAAACTAACTAACTACCTGGAGTTTACCTAAAGAGGGTTTCGGGGGTCAACGCCCCCACGGCTCGGTCTGAGACCAGGCCTCATGGTGGATCAGGGTCTGATCAACCAGGCTGTTACTGCTGGTTGTGAATAAGCTTTTCAGCATTTTTTCCGTCCATATATATAAAAGCTATTTCACAATTCACTAGAGTTGTATATGAGTTTCTCACAATTTTGTCGTGTGATCTGGTGACATTTAATTTTTAATACTAACACTTTAGTCCCTTTCTTTCATTGACATTATCAGTATTTTATCACAATTTATATTCTTCATACGGTTTGATTGCACTCTCTTCCATTTCTGTTACCAGGCTCCATGGCCTGGTGGCTAAAGCTCTTGCTTCACACAGCAAGGGTCCGGGTTCGATTCCCAGCAAGGGTAGAAACATTGGGTGTGTTTCTTTACACCAGTTGTCTGTGTTCACCATCAGTAAAATGGGTACCTAGGCGTTAGTCAACTGGTGTGGTCGCACCCTGAGACAAAACTGACCTAATTTGCCGAAATGCTCTGCATAACAAGCGGCTTTCTATGTAGTAGGATGTCATTGATGTCAGCTAGGCCTGTATACCTTGTACATGTACTTGTAGAAATAAAGATATTACATGTATATGTATTATTATTATACATGGCTTTTATCTACATTAAATTCCATTAAATCATTATATTATTAAATTCATTTATCTACTACATTAAATTCCATTAAATCATTATTATTATATTTACATATGTTATCTTTTTGCCTAAGCTGCAAAGATGTTTTCTTGTATTTATTCCTGCTGATAAATTCCTCATGTAAATTAAAAGCATTATTTGGACAAGTACAGATCCTCAGGGCAACCCACTTGTAACATCTTTCAATGAGGACATATCTTACCTAGTTTTAGTCTCCCTTCTTATTGGCTTCAGACGTTTCATTGGTAATATTTAACTGCATTAGAAACTTATTCCGTATTCTGTACTACTCCTTTTGTGTGTATTACAGTGGGGGGCTGGGCTTATGGGGTGCAGGGATACCTTTCTCAGGTCGCAAAGCATGCCTAGCACTACCACATACAGGATAATCTTTGAATATATGGCCACATGTCAGTAAGGTGGGTGAGCATAACTATGGGTTGCCATGCGAGGGTGGTTGATGTTGGTGCAGCTGAGGATGAGGTGCACTCAGCTTATCTCAAATCACATTTCCTTTCATTATGAAGCTCATGTCCAGCAGTCACACTGACAGTGCTCACACCATTAAGTTCTCTCTTTATACCATTCAAGGAAGGGGAAGTTGCCTTTGCATTAAAGACCTCTTGATCAAAGGAAGTAGAGTTTCCCTCCTCTTTCTTGGATCAAATCTGATTACCTCTATTATCCAGTTGATGTATGACCCCTATGAGTTTAGCACTTTTTTGCTTTTAATAATAATAGCTGTAAACCATCTCCTTACATTTCAAACTAGGCTGAGCAATATATTACAGTACATACCTTATATTACATACCTATAACATATTGTACCTTTCAATTCTCTACACATTATGTATTATTACAGACTTGGCAGCAGTATACACTGCACAATGATGACCTTCTGGAAATGGGGTGCATCTGCATGATTGTTCTGATCATTGCATGTAGCTGCCTAGGCCAGGGTAAGAAAATACTTGTATTTGGGATATCATACAGGAGGGCCCCGCTATACATCAGGTTAGGTTCCGGACTACCACTGTAAAGTGAAAATCGCTGTAAAGTGAATCGTAGCCTTTTTTCACTTTCAAATGCATATAAAAGCCTGATAACATGTTTTTGCTTTCATATATTAAGTAATATAGCTAGGCCTAAAAATGCATATACAGTACACACATTACTGAAAATGTTTTCATCCTGAATGTATAGTGAGTCATGAATATATTTTTGTAGGAAGTTTTGAATAAATGAAGAATGGCTATAATTGAAAAACTGCTGTATTAGTGAAATGCTGTACAACAGGACCTGCCTGTATTTTTATTTCTCCAAAACTATTTATTGCTGTATGAAACTTATGGATTTAGTGCTTATTTTTAATATAATAATCCAAAGTTTTTTATTCGACTTTAGTGAGTGTCCCTTCTCATATTCAGATTCAAAACTTCAAAATTCAAATAATCATTAAATGACATGATAACTGATTACAAAGCTCATATATAAATAGGCACAATTTGAACTGTATTTTACACTTTCATCTTCTCTTCTATAATTTCATCAATGTAGAACGGCAATTTTGAAAAATCAAGCTTTTGCTGTGCAAAATCACCAGGGGAAATGGCAGAAATGCTTAGGGGAAGATTCAAAAGCCCTACAGATGAGATGGATGATGATCGTGTGTTGACAGAGAGGAGAGGAGAAGGCAAAGGGAGGAGCGCCAACTGGCAAAAAGTGAGAGAAGGTGTGTATGAATAAAAAAACTAATTGGCCCCACTTCTTAAAATTTTTTGGGAAATTAGATAAGAAACATGATTTTTTTGGTATATGAATTTATTGTTTTTGTGGTTTGGAGGGTCATCTGAGCTGTAATGTCAGCATGCTTCTGGAAATGACACTGATTGAATGAGGGACAGTGAAAGTGTTGTCTTTTTTGTAGGTTACCATGCCTCAGTGGGAAGTGGGCAGCAGTCTTCACCCACCAAGGCAGGGTAACCAAAGGAGAAATACATTCACCATCATTCATTCAGTAGCTGTCTTACCAGAAGTGCACTGACATCACAAGCACATTACCCTCCTACTGCAACATTCCCATCTCTCCTTCACAGTGCAAGCATGCCCTTCCCACCTTTAGGACTCTAAGTCTGGCTAACTGGTGTCCCTGAATCTCTTCATGAAAGTTATTTTGCTTGAGCTCCAACAGTATGTCCATTAAATACCACTTGTTTCCATTCACTCCTATCTAACATGCTTACACAAGCCTCACACTGATGTAAGTGTTGGTACCACTGTACTTGGTATATTTATTTTTTTTCTTCCATAGATAAGTTTTTTTTTTCTACAGATACTTAAGCACACCAACCCCCCTTTTTTGTCCCCTTATCCGTTCTGTGGTTCACCTTGTCTTATAGATCCGTTTATCTGCTATATACATTCACTTCCATACTTTCTCTCCAATCTGATATCCAATCTATCATTACATAGTCTTTGTTATTCTCATCACCTTACTGATTTCTGTGTTCACTTTTAATTTCCTTCTTTTATATGCCCTCTCAAATTCACCATCGACCTTCCTAACTTGACTTCAGAATCCTCAAGTCATCAGCAGAAAGCAACTGTGATAACTTCCACATTATATCAGATCCAGCATCTTTTAATCACACACCTATTTGAAAATATCAGCAGTAATTCATTGCTGCAGCTCAAATAATGTAGAAATGTTGTTAAAATGCTGATAAATAATGAATCTTACAGTGAAGTATGTATAGCAATTGTAAATGACTTGGTAACAGCATAAAGAATGCAGTGGAAACTAAAATGATAAAAGTTATATTTAAAATGTTTGTTATATATAGGTACTTTTAGAAAGTTTTCTAAAAACCACTATAACATATGGAAAACATGCAGTTCAAACTTGTAAGATGCAACCTATTTACCTGAAGAGGTAAATAGGTTGCAGAAAATATAAAATAGTAATTAGTATTGATTAGTATCATGTAAAATTTAAGATTAAGCAAATTTTTCTAATTGAGATGTGGATACTACAACCTCACATTGTTTGAATAGCTAATTTGTATTTTTTTTTTTTGCTTTAATGTGTATCTTTTAATCAAACTACAGTATACCGTCAGGGATGAAAGGAGGCGGCAAAAGGAGGATGGTCGGAGAACAGGGCATGACCGAAGACATGAAGTATCCGCTGAGGTGGTGGACTTAGCATGGTTGAGGGCTAACCTTTCCTCCTCTGGAGAGAGGTTTCGAGCTTTTACAAAGCAACAGGTTAGAGAATTTGGAGAGCCCATTACACAGCAAGTAAAAGCTGTTGATTTGTTTCCTGAGTTATCTCTAAGTATCCATCATTAGAGTAGGGCTTCTCAGTACTGGAGATCATAGAACGACTAACATCTTTAGATCAAGGAATAGAACAAGTTTAATACTACTGTAAATACTGTACAAAGGTAATTTAGGAGATGCCAAACAGTTTGCTTGATTATAACACTACTTATAATGTAAAAAAAAAAAAAAGTAATAATAATTGCATTAGATCCACAACTAGGAGTTGCATTCCTGTTTATGTTTTACTTACAAACAAGGTGTTTGTTTTAAAAAACATTTATACAAAGGATTATTTCTCACATGTTCCTACTGTAGCTTCATTTGTTATGTAAAGGTATGCAGACTGCCATTTGGAAGTCGAACAGTTGTTAAAAAAAATTATTTACATAGAAATAGTGTTTTACTCTATTTACTTTTAGCAATGCTTTTTATGTATTGTAACACCTCTCAGTGGATTTTGGCAGCTTTGGACAAAAAAATTGGCAGAACAAACATTGGAAGTCTTGAACGAAATGGACAAAAGTTGGTAATTCTGGATTTTGTTTGTAGTGATAGTGTCCAGTTGTCTTCTGAAGTATCGGACCAAGCCTGATAACTTCACTATTTGCCTGATACAGACCAGAGCGTCCATGTCCAGGCCCCCTCTGTTTTAATTGATTCATGATCTGTAGGCCTCCCATGCTAGTTGTTTGTGTTCATTCATGCATACACTTATTCAGTCTCTAATTTTTCCTGGGTTTAGGGTATTTTATGTGACTTTATCAACATATTAGTAAAGTAAAATTAACAGTGGCTTCTAAAGCAAGTGGTGGTGCAAGAAGAAATGCTAAGGAGAAACTTTAAATAGTAAAGTTGAGTGTGGTGTCTCATTGGTATGGGTATGTGAGAATATGGTGTTCAGAAACAGTGTTGATATCCATAGAAGCAAGGACAAACTTACCAGTTATGCTGTTAAGTTTAGCATATTATTATTATTATTATAATCAAGGGGAAGCGCTAAACCCGTAGGATTATACAGCTAAGTTTAGCATAGATACTAGTGTAACTTGGCATCTCCTCTGACTCAGAATAAAAGTTAATCTGAGTCACCAGTACTGATCACAGCAGTTTACATATCATCTCTCCACTATGAAAAGGTAAGTAAAATTATTGTTACTATAAAATTACTTTACGGTACTGTATTGTAGGGGTACAAGTTACAATGCCCATTTCTTTGTGTCTGGTTGTCTTCTGCATCAATGGACTGAAGTCCACTAGTTCAGAAGATGGCTGGATGATCATGAAAAATTAATTTCAGAATTGGGAAGTTTCAGACATTCAGCAATATCACACACTCCTCGTCCATTAGTCTGTTAACCCTTAAACTGTCCAAGCAGGTCTATGTTCACATGCGTAGTGCTCCAAAAGTAGATCTGCTTTTTTTTACATACTTTCAAATGTTGAAAAATCGTAGATCTACGTTTGGACAGTTTAAGGGTTAATGAGAGTGTTCACTGTATTGTAGAAAAAATTATCTAAAAGTTTTCACTCCTCAGGGACATGGACATACAAATCGTGGTTCACTAACAAGAGAACGCAGTGAAACTTCAGAAGCAAGTGAAGTTACAGAAGATTATGCCTCGTGTCCTACTGGGGTAGATGGCTGCCGCGGCAATGGAGGCCAGATCTGCAGTGGGCACGGGAAGTGCTCATGTGGTCATTGTCAGTGCAACTCTGATTACTATGGCAGCACATGCCAGTGTAGTGATTACACCTGTGATCTGTAAGTTTGTTTGTGACTGCAAATTATCATTCTACTTAAGAGAGAAATTGGGTTATTAAGTATGTATGCACATGGAGATGAGAAGTGTGTAGAGGAGAGAGAGTTTGGGATGTGTTAAGTGAATGTTTTGGAAGCTTTGTGCCAAGTAAAAGAATAATTTTTATGGGGACCTAAATGCTAAAGTGGGCGAGTGTTGTAGCTGGTGTAGTATGTAAGTTTGGAGTGACCGGGGTACGTGATCATGGGGGACCCTTAAATGAATTATGCCTGTAAAGGACTTGGTTATAGGTAATATTTAATTTAAGAAAGATGATAAATAAGCATAGAAGATATGACATAGGGTGTAATAATAGCAGTTTGTTAGACTGTATTAGTGGATAAAAGGCTAACACAGTGGAACCCCCGGTTAACGATATTTTTTCACTCCAGAAGTATGTTCAGGTGCCAGTACTGATCGAATTTGTTTCCCATAAGGAATATTGTGAAGTAGATTAGTCCATTTCAGACCCCCAAACTACACGTACAAACGCATTACATAAATACACTTACATAATTGGTCGCATTCGGAGGTGATCGTTATGCGGGGGTCCACTGTACTTGTGGATGAGCATGTTTTTAAAGGGGGGTGACATATGTGTCAGATAAATAGTAGTAGCTACAGTAAGAGTAAAGGGTACATAGAGTACAAGGAGAATGGCATCAGTGGGTAAGAGAGTAGTGAAAGTGAATGAACTCAAGGAGACAAGGAAAGATTAAACATCTATTGGGAGAAAGGCAAGCAAGTATGAGTACAGGAAGTTGAGGAGATATGGGGTAAATTTAAGGAATGCAATGCTATGGAGTGGCAGCAGAAGTTTGTGAGTATAGGAGGGTGGTTGTGGGTGGGAAGAAGAATGATTGGTGGAATGATGATGAAGAGGGTGATAGAAGAAAAAGTTAGTATATGAGGGGCTTTTATAATACAGTGGTACCTCAGTATATGTCCTTAATCCGTTCCAGGACCTTGGACTTATACTGAATGACTTTTTCCTTACGAAATATAGGGAAAAATGATTAATCTGTTCCCATGAAAAAAAAAATCCTATTGTTATTGGCATATTATACATTGATGGGGTTATATAAAATAATTTAAACACTGCTTAATACTAAAATATGTAATTTATACACTGCTTAATACTAAAATACATACATAAATACAAAAGAATTAGATGAAATAAATGCAAATTTAACCTCACTTTACTTTGCTGAAGAGTCGAGTGCCTACTAGGATAGTGCTGAGAAGGGGGGAGGAGGAAATGTTATTGTTTGGAAGGAGAGTCCCCTTCTCTTTTCTGTCTCTTTTTCCCTATTTGGACCTGGTTGAAGCTCACCAGGTTTGACTTTTACTAAAAATCTGTCCAAAGAACTTTGCTTCTGCCTTCTTCTCAGGATGTTTCAGAAATGTGACATTGTCTGGTCATTCCAGACAATGCTGTTACGGCTTGTTTGGCTTTGTTGGAGTGGTACTTCTCTGCAAGTTTTTGATGTCCATCCATGTAGCAGAGATTTCCTTGATTAATGAAATAGGGGTTTCCCCTGTCTCCTTTTCCAAGCCTGAAGAGAGTGCATCTATCTTAGTCTTGTGCTCCTCCTTCTCAAGTTCCTGCAGCTCCTCAGTGGTCAGCTCTTCCCTGTGGCCCCTCCACTAACTCCTCCATATCACCAACACTTACATCCAGACTCTTGGACCTGCCCAGAGAGACAATATCTCCACTATAGACACAGTCTCATATCCCTCAGTCCCTTTCAGCCACTTCTGGCCACAAATTCCTCCAAGCACTGTTCATTGTTCTGTATGAAACTTCCTGCCAGGCTTTGTCAATGAAGTTATGCAATGCGCGATAGTAAAGTGATCTTTCCAACACTCTCAGGGTTAACTCTGTGTCAGAGGTCATTTCAAAGCACTTCTGGAATAGTACTTTAGTGTCGAGTTTCTTGAATTACTGGTGACCTGCCGATCCATGGGCTGGATGAGAAGAGTCGTGTTAGGGGGAAGAAAAACTTTACAGTGATGAAGTCAAACTCCAGCAGCACATAGTCCTGCAAGCTTGGAGGGTGAGCTGGAGCATTGTCCATTATGAGGAGGGCCTTCAGAGGCAGGTTTTTCTCCTGTAAAGAACTTTTTAAACTTGGCCCAACCACAAGTCTTTTGACCCATACAAGTTCTAGCACACGAGTCGTATTCCAAACAAAGGTCGTATACCAAGCAAAAATTTTTGTGTCCAAACAAGACATATACCAAGATGGACTTATTCCAAAGCAGATGTGTACCAGGGTACCACTTTATAAAAGTTATTTACAGGTGGCAGAGTATATGGAGAGAAAAAAAAGGGAGGGTAAAAAGCAGGGCTGTGGAGATGGAGTCTGAAGCAGTTCTTGGGTTACTGGAGTTGGAGTCAGCAAAATGTAATTAAAGGAGTCAGAATCGAAGGTTTTATGTGCTGTCTCCACAGCCCTGATAAAAAGAGAATAGGCATATTTTTGTCAGCAAATTTTGCTGAGAATGAGAAACAGTTTTGGAGATAATAAAGTGAGGAAGCCTGAAGAGCAAATGACATTTAAAAATGAACGAGGGGAGATATTAGATAGGGAGTTAGAATAGATTGAAAGAAATAAAATGGAATATAAGACAGATGTTCAAGCAGGTGGAAATATAGTGTTGGAGTGGTTGGTGTATTTGTTTAATATATGCTTAAAAGAAGGGAAGGTACCTAAGGATTAGCAAAGAACATACATATTTTCCTTGTAAGGAAAAAGGGGACAAAAGAGAATGTTAGAATTTTAAGGGGATTAGCTCATTGAGTATACCTAGTAAAGTGTAAGGTAAAATTATTACTGAAAGGGTTAGCAGTAAGATAAAGTATGATTACAGAGGAGCCAGGAGGATTTAAGAAGGGTAGAAGATGTGTCAACAGCATTTACATTGAATAATTAAGTGAGCAGAATTTAGATAAGGGTAAAGAGCAGTTTGTTTCATCAGTGGCTTTAGAAAAGGTGCATGATAGTGTGGATAGGGAACCCATGGGGCACATGTTGTACGTGTTTGGAATAGATGGTAGGTTACTAAAAGCAGGAAAGAGTTTATAAGTGGATAATGAGGCTCAGGGTATATAGAGAGGGAGACTGTTTCTTAGTGAAAGCAGGACTTGGGCAGGTTGCACAGTATGATGTCACCATTGTTATTTAATATACTTATAGATGGAGTTGTAAAAAGAGTGAATGCTGTTGTACTGGGGAGAGGTGCGAGATTAAATGTTGTTGTCACACTTGCTCTTTACAGATGACACAGTTAAGAACATAAGGGCACTGCAGCAAGCTTACTGGCTTATGCTAGGCAAGTCCAAGTCACCAGTAGGTGACCTGGACCTGTCAAACTTGGACCTCCCAAATTCATCCACCAACCTCACCTACTGGCTTAGGCCAGTAGGTGAGGTTGGTGGATGAATTTGGGAGGGAAGGAAAAAGAAGAAATTGGAAGCAAACACAGAAAAGAGCAAGATGATGGAAGTAACAAAAAAGTCTAGGCAATGATAGATTACCTCTTTAATGTGTAACTTTTTTTTTTTTTTAAATGTTTGGAGTTAAAGGTGGAAGTAGAGACTACAGGATTGGTTAATGGGAGGGGGGTAAGGAAAGTTTAGTCTTAAGTATCTAACGAGCTTATGCAAGTGTGTGAGACAGGAGTGAGTGGAGGCAAGTAGCTTTTAATGGATATACCTTTGGATTGTGATCAAGGTAACTTTTTGCAGGAAAAGCAGTGCCTGCATTTGGGGGTGGAAGTAATCTAAATTGTTATGTCAACATGCTTGTAGCAAAATTGTAATTGACTGAATGATGGTTAATGTCTGTATTAATCAGGATAAATATACTATTACTCATGGGAATTTTTCATATTTTACATTCTGTAGCATTTAGCTTCTCCAGGTTTATAAACTTGATTTCATAAGAATGATTAATTTGCTCCTTCTGCAGACATTTAATTAAATACATTGCTTACCAGTATGGTCTTCCCTATCAGTTGAATTATGCTTTCTAATGTCATTTATCATTTGAAGCTTTTTTTGTACAAGAGGATTTAATAATCAATGAGAACACATGTTTAAATGTTTTAGATGCATTTAATATACTGAACTGTTGATTTATAATCCATGTTTTTGAGGCAGATATGACGGAATGGTTTGTGGTGGACCAAGTCGTGGACAGTGTCGTTGTGGGGGTGGTATGTCGACCGGCTTGCGGAGAAGCTTGCAA